AGATCAAACCGCTTCGTTCCGGGCCGATGCGTCGACGCTGGAACCCAGGGGATTCCCCTTACGGGTTGGCCATTAAAAATAACTGAAACAAACAGGCTAGTTGTTAGATTTCTTTCTGACTATGTGCGTAAGTGAAGAAAAGCGTTTAACTAGTACTTGTGGACAATTTCGTCAAATAAATTGCCAGACATAATTATTGGGACAAGCAAAATTTTAGGGTAAATTTAAAGTTGAATGTCTCTTGAACTAAAAAAGATTTTGGGATGCGGTTTGGACTAGGTTTTAGATGAATCTATTGTGATTAAGATGCTTATGTGGTTTTCGAAAATATATTTAGCGAATTCTCGTATACAGGGTGTTTTATAAGAGTGTGAAAATTTGATCAAGAATCTTTTTTACCGCAAATTTACAATTTTTAAAAAATCGAAATTTTTACCAAGTACGATGAATCTGTATTAAAATTAGAAAAAACAATTTGATCGGTTTTTTAATTTTTCTTTGTTTTAAGGAAAATACGACGTTTTTTCGAAAAATATGCATTTTTAGTCATACGTATGGCCCTAAATGGTACAAAAAGCTTTGTACATACTGCATATGCCAAAATATTATTGATATAGAGTGTATCTAAAAGCAGATAACTAACACAACTTCAATCAGAATAATATTTTTATTTATAAAATAAGTAGATAAATTATAATAAAATTTCAGTTTATTTAATATTAAATATATTTTTTTAAACACCCTGTATACATCGGTGTCCAAATTTCTGTACAGCTCGTTTAAGATACACGCTATATCAATATATTGTGGGCCTATGCAAAATGTACAATGCCTTTTGTACCATTTAGGACCAAATGTATGACTATTGTTTACAGTCCCGTAACTTTGCGGATCCGCGGGATTCATTGCTTTAATCCCGCGGGTTTGCGGGATTGATATTTTGGTGCGGGATTGCATTCCCTATTCCCGATAATCACCGAAGTTAAGCGACGTTAAATGATGAGGGTGGATGCACTCAGAAAAAAAAATGCATTGTAAAATGCACAATAAATCACGTTCAAATAATTAACTCGTTCTATGGAATTTGATTTACCTAATTATTTGTTTCATAAACGATTGCTGATATAATATTGCTTTATATACATAATAAAAATTAAAGCATTCAAAATAAAATGAATACTATTTTATCGGATATCTAATATTTAGTCCTTTTAAAGTAATTATTACCCTGTATGTTTTAAAAGATGTATAATTTTAAAAGAAAGGTGCCCGGTGGCGTAGAGGTACAGGCTCTCGTCTACCAATCTCAAGGTAGTGGGTTCGAATCCCACACCCGGCATTTCATCAGCCGACTATTTTTATTAAAATAAAAATAGTTTGGGTACCTGGGTCGACTCAGCCTTAAATTAGTACTTGGGATTCACAATCTTGAGGTAATAATAGGCGGTTGAAGCGTAGTGCTAGCCACATTACCTTCCTTGTATACCGAACGGCTCTAGTATAGCAAGCTGTACCTTGCTACTCCAAAGGCGTTAAACGCTATATACGGGAGCTATTATTATATGTTTTAAAACAACCACGTTCAAAATAAACGGGTATTGCCTTATTGTTTTTGAAAAGTGCTTGTCTATTTATTCCAATAAAGCTTGATTTTCCATCCGTTGTCCGACGATACGTTGATACGATATTAATTTTATTGGTAGAATTTAAAGACTTTGACTGGTTAGAAAATAACGCAGTTTTTAAATTTATTGCATTTTCATTTCCTCCGTTTATCGGATATACGTTGGTGTTATTTTATATTTTCGTTTCCATAACGATTTTGCTATTTTACAAAGTATTTTACTTATATTTTTATTAAGGTTAGATTAAATTTATCAAAAAAGTGTCAAAACGTCCGTTATCGTATGAACGGGTCCGTTGACGGGCTGAAGTAAAATATTTACGGATGAAAAGTGGCGCGAAAACGCTATGACCAATCAGAGCACCGTCGGACCATCATGTCCGACGGTCAAAATCAAACCAAAACACCACAAAACAATATACCGTATGATGGAAAAAAGGCGTCCAGTTGCAGTAAAAATAAAGTAAATGACGATTAATCACATTTACCATACAATTTTACAATGACAGCGATCTTCACTTCATAGCCATCGCTGACGCCGTTTGTTAACACTAATTTTCTTTAATTCGGCCAGCAGCGAAGGCATTTCAAAGACGGTGTGAAACTAAAAGCGACAGTGTTGCCAGATTAAAATGAGTAATATCTGTAATACCTTTAACGAAAATATCTTTGGATGAAAAATTCGCGTTTATGCACTGAAAATTTATTCGTGTTAAACATAGAATAAACAACAAATCAGTTCAGTAGTCAGTTCTATATAGAGCTCTCTACAGGCAAAACGTTAGATAAAACGTTATGTGTTAACAGGGCTTTATAGCAAACATAATATAGTTCGTAAACTACGTGCGACGGTCGTTGCGAGATAACGCGACAACTATGTATTTCAGTGCAGTCCCTTATTGCGCTGGGACGTTCTCACTTTTCAATTTCCTTCAAACAAATTATATTATTAAAATAAAATAATGTAGGTGCCCGGTTGCGTAGAGGTACAGGCTCTCGTCTACCAATCTCAAGGTAGTGGGTTCGAATCCTACACCCGGCATTTCATAAGCCGACTATTTTTATTAAAATAAAAATAGTTTGGGTACCTAGGTCGACTCACCCTTAAATGAGTACTTGGGATTCATAATCCTGAGGTAATAATAGGCGGTTGAAGCGTAGTGCTAGCCACACTACCTTCCTTGTATACCGAAAGGCTCTAGAATGGCAAGCTGTACCCAAGGCGTTGAACGCTATATACGGGAGCTATTATATTATTAAAATAAAATAATTCAATTTGGTCTATCAACTGTTCATTAGGGTATTAATTATGGAACCTGCTAAACCTAAATAAATATGTAATTGGCAACTATAATTATATAGGTTTCTAAGTGTCAAACATAAAATAATTAACAAGCATAAGTGCAAAATAAACAATATGTGCCTTACCTACGGCAATTGGTGTTAGAGATGTGTATGATCTACCAGCAGCTTCTGTTAGCAGCATTAAAAATGACAACTAGTGTTAGTTTTTTTGTGGTAAAAAGCCACAGCCACATAAACAAATAACAAAATATTCAACGCTATATAATTAAAAGATGCAAGAAAATATTTTAACATGCAAACAGAGTCTGTGTTGGTAATACTGTGACCCAGTTCAGGTGTTCAAAAAGAGCTCCATATTTTTCTATGCTCCATATTTTTGATATGAGGGGAGTAGCGCGCATTTGAAAAATATTTTTATAAATATACAGGGTTATTCAAATATATTTTTACACTAAAGTTGTATTTTTAACTAGGAAATTGTTTTTTTTCGTTTATTGAATTTTTCACTGACTTTTTCTGATGTTAGCAAAGTTGTATGGAAAGATATCGGAAAACCGAATAGCGTCATGCAGTATTTACGCGTACCTTATCATGGTTACGACATGCGCGAGTCAATTTTTAACGCAACGCCCGCTAATAACGTTACCGCCTGACTTAATTTGCGGATCAATTTCTGCAATTACACCCAAGAACGGCAAGGTTAACTGTTCTTGAATTACACCAAGCGCTATTTGTAAATAACATAAAAATTAAAAATTGCTTAAATGGGCATGTGCGGGAATTTGACAACCGGGGCCGGCCGGTGAGATCTTTTATTTTAGGTTATGTTTGAATTGTTTTGAATTATTACTTTAGTTTTATTAGGTAATTTGATATTTAAGTAGCTGGGATTAGTTTTAATTAAATAAATATGGCCCAAAATATGGATTCCACCTCTTCCAATATTAAAGAACCTATAAAGAGGCTTAGGTTTACAGCAGATGACGACTTTGCCCTTCTAAGAGAATTTATTGCCGTAAACCCACTGGAAGACGTTGGACAATAAAGCACTGGAAATAAGCACTTCAGCCCTTTAGTTTTAAAATACCTAGTAAACAAAACAATTTCAAAGTTTTAAATTCAAAGTTAGGTTAAGTTTAAATAGCGGACTAGACGCGAACAGAATTCTTTCCGATCCGGTAACTATAAATGAAGAGAGTTAATACCACCCCACGTAAAGGAAATATCACCTGGCCTTATTAACGTCCATGCACGCTATTCGGTTTACCGATATCTCTCTATTACGCTGTTTATTGTTATTTTACGCGAGTTTATTTTTGCGCACAGGAAATTTTACTCGTTTGCTCATCGTCATAAAAAACAATTTTCATACCACGAATTAGGGATAAGATTTTTATCTTTATACATATAGTATACCTAATCTGTGTTACTATAAACATTTGTGCGGCAATGCATAGCTTTAAAATTACAGGATGTTAAAACTTTTAACATCCATTTATCTCATCAAGGAGATCAAAATCGATCAAATATCTATCTAGATACAACTTTTAATCGGCATTAAACGGCCTACCCAATTTTGCTACTAAGGAAAAAAGTCAGTGGCGCACATGGTTTTTTTTCTGTTTTTAGCATTAAAATATGTAGCACTTATTGTAACTTTTACCCTCAATATTTGATTTGAATCACTAAAAGCACTTGAAAGAAAATTATCATAAATTGAAAAAAAATTAAAACTTTAACCCCCTATAGCTATATAACAAAGCAAACTAGATATAAAAAATAAATTTTATTTTATGTAAGAAATCGGCACACGAGAGATGACACATATTTTTTGAAACACCCTGTATTTTATGATATAATTTTATGGCAAATCCAATAGGTAAGTATTCAAATAAATATGATGTATAGTGTAAAAACTACAGCTATAACATAAAAATAGATACATTTGGGATTTTTTTTCAAATCACCCTGTATATTTTTTGATGCTTTAAAATAATCCAGTATAAAATTGAAAGTTAGCAGAGTCATAAACATTCTTTTTTGAAACAGTAAAAAATTCCTCTATACTTACCGGTGACTGTGATAAAATGTGGAGATGTTGTAGCAATAGTATCTTCTTGAGACTCAGTTTCCTGGTCAGCTGGTCCAGTACTCTCGTTACTAGAGTCTCCAGTCTGCTCTAAGGCAATTACAGGTACACCATTAACCAGAGTTCCACTCGCTGTCCCCTAAAAGTTAAAACAGACATAAAAATAAAAATTCCCTTAATAAAAAAACCGTCACCACGATGTCAAGAAAACCTACTTTTATCTGTCCTGCACGTACAAAGAAGAACTGTTTAAAACTAGACTAAACAGAACTAAAAGAACAATTAAGACGCTTATAAAACAAAGAAGAAGGAAAAGTGATAGAGAGAACGAAAAGAAAAGTGCCAGAGCACAGCACGGTGTCTATCAGTATCGAGATTACCTGATGTAAACTGGCTGGCAGCACGATGAGCTGGGTTGGCTGAGATTGGGCAGGGGGCGACGTTGCAGGACCGGGGGTAGGCGGGCTACTGCCACCGCCTCCTGCTGCAAAGCGAGCTGCGGTTGCCATGGCGGCGTCTCCAGGGCTACTCCTGCCTCTATCCGAACCAGCCAACGAGATAAGCTGGGGCCGGATGCTGCAATCGGAAAGTTTGTTAGTGGGCATATGTTGGAGGGGCTGGTATTTTTTTCTTGGGAGATTTTTTTATTGAATGAATGGCCTAAAATGGTTTCTTGAAAATATAGCTATATTTTTAGTATGAGCAAATTGTTAAATTTATTTTTTTTTTAATATTTTATTTTAAAATAGTGTTACAATGTTGCAAATAAAAGTAAAAAAAAACTAATATAGCAATTATAAAGCTTCATTAAGAACGTCGAAATTAGTGGTAGTAGTTTTCGATTAGCGGAAATAGTTAACAAACTTTTAATTTTTCCACTAATTATAATTCAAAATTTGCGAGAAATGTCATTTTGGCCTTTGATTGTCATCTGTCAAGAAAAATTGTGGTTAGATATCAAAAGTTGAATGTTTTATAAACTAAATATTAAGCTTTATCTATGGATACAAATGACTACCGCAATCTGTTGCTAGGATATTTTATTAAGTTTAATTGTGTTTTTTAGACATTGCTTTCAGTTACACTTTATACACTTCCCCAATAAATTAAAGCACCACAAAAAAATAACCAAAAGTTTAAGTTAAGTTTTTGTCAAAACCACTTATCCGATTTGGACGATTGTTTTTTTGAATGATAGGTTATTCTTTCCACAATGTTGCTATACTAATTGTATTTTGATAGGAATCCTTTTTATACTAATACCGGGTGTAGCAATTATAACGTGTTTTTTTAATAAAATTTGTGATACCCTGTAGAGTTGATCAGTTACAGTATCAAGTTAAAATTGAAATCACATTTTAGCCTTATCTTTTTTTTACATTTTGTTCTTTTATTTACTCCATTATCTTCCTTATTACACGTGAAACAACATTTTATAGGATGACATGATTTAATATTGGTTTTAATTGACATTTTTCCATTTTACTCACTAAAGTAAGTAGCAGGGTATGCAAAAACACGGATTACCAGTAAATATCAAATAGAGATGCTTGTTGTCAGTGTCAGTCGTTTTCGTCCATTTATTATCTATATATAGCGTTTTTTTATCTTTTAAATACTTTTTCATAATGCCTTTATTATTTGAAGTAGTTGAAGTTGTTGGCATTTTGAAAAAGCAATCAAAAGATAAAAAACGCTGCTAAGACCATCAAAATAACGTTGATCTAATAACACTTTGACGTTTTACTATTACGTCAAAAGCAACTTTTTTCCAAAGCCTATGACTTCACTGAATCATCGTTTCTTGTTCACTATTATTAATATCTTAATTATTAGATATTAATACATCTGATATTATGATATTCTGGTATATCGTCGATTTTAAAATAAACTAACTGTTTCTATCTTATTTTTAGATTAGAATAGAAAAGTATAAGAGTGCTACTGATACCGTGTTGTGAAAATAAGGTAATTAAGGGCTTATTTTTTGGTATTTATTATAATTTTGCTAATATCTTCGGTTTGAAAGAAGATATGAAGATGCGGTTTTCGCTAACTTTTTAAGCTTTTACTACTCTTTACTATCAGCTAAAATTACATATACTATTGCATTTATTTTTTTTGAAAAAAACGCGCAATGTTTGTTAAATTGTAAGACACCGCCCCCTAGCGTCTACGTTCAAAAGCCTATTATTATTGTTTATATGGTACAATATAGAGTAAGAAACGCTCTTTTAAACGAGCCCTCGCGTGTTGGATTCCGATCATCCAGTCCAGAGTTATTAATATTCAAATAAAAACAGATCTAACCTTCCCCCACCACTTTATTTTGGTAGATAGGGGAAAATGGCTCTAACAAAAAATATTCAAAATATACTGAAGATTATGAAGCTGTTACTTATAGTACATCTTATCTAGGCAAAATTGTGTAAAAACTCCATTTTCTTATTTTTTGTTGCAGTTGCGCCCCCTAGCGGTCGTTCTACAAACTTGAAAATAATTTCCAGCAATTTCCCATAGCCTCTTTAGTAATAAGTATTTTTTTCCGCAGCCGCTACTAGCTGTAGCGGCTACGAGGCTGTAGCTTACTTTCCGAGATACAGCCGAGAGCTATTCTTAGTGGGACACCCTGTACAAGATACCTCATAAAAATTATTTGGAATACAAGTTACTAGATACCTCTAAGAGACAAAGTATTTGAGGTATTAGTTACAAAATACTATTGAAAAAGGTATTTGGAATACTAGATCTAAGATACTACGTATTTTCCAAAATACTTTAAAAAAAAGTACTTTTCGATTTAACAGTTTTTTTTTGAAGTTATTTTTACCATATTATCTTAATAATTATTATGAACAAGAATCGTGTAAATCTGAGAATATCTTTATTACTTAAATATTGCGCATAGATATTGCGGTGTTTCTAACCAGCGATGCTGCCAGTAGACACCATGTTGCCGCTACTTACAACAAAGGAATCAAAAGTCTTCTAAAACATGTAATAAGATTGGTCTTTTGTCTTTTTTTATGTATTCCACCATTGTAGTGTCCAATATTTGTTTTTCATACCGATTAATTTTACGTGTTTCAGTCAGGACAAGATCTTTGACATGTTCTTTAAATGACTTTGGCACCCATTTCAGCCCGTTTTATTTTAAAAGAATGAAATGGGTGCTTTTCTTTAATCCATAGACACAGAAGAATAAAAATATTATTTATAGAATGTTTATTTTGTTCTATTTTAGGTTTAATGTTAATAAAAAATGTTACATAATTAAATACTTTCATCTTATATTTCAAATATAAGATGAAAATAGGTATTTTGTATCTTATATCTGTATTTCGAATACTTGAATCCAAAATAAGTCCCATCTCTTCAATGATGTAAAAAAAAACATTAGGAGGTAAGGGATATTTCAAAAACTTAGTTTTTTTCATATACTGCATGTTGCATCGCAGACCTGAACATAGAAAATCACAAGGAAATTTTAAAAATGAAGAATAAAAGATCCCCATTTTATTTTAGAGAAAATAATATTTGAAACTTTTTAGAGAACTTAAAATTCTGGAAATTGTTCATTATGAATGGTTTGTACGAATTCGTTTTTGAGTTATGGGGGACAAAATACAAAAATACTAAATTAACCGACAACTAAAGTGATTCTGTTCTGATCAAACAAAGATAACAATCGTATAAACCATTCAAAAAGAACACGTTTGCTGCTTCATTTTAAGTTCTTTAAAAAGTTTAAAATAAGTTTAACTCTAATTATAAGAGGGAGATCTTTTAAAATTTACATGGGATTTCCTATATTTAGGTCGGCGATGCAACAGACTGTAGATACAATTTTTCGATTTAGCGTTTCCCGACAAAGTTTTTAATTAAAGGTGAACCAAAATCATATTATTGATTTTTTTGCAAAAAAAAGTCACTCAAAAAACTTGAAATTTGATGTGTGTGGTTGCCAGTAAAGCCCCATACTCACTATGCGCTGATTCTTCGATTTGATGCGTCAATGCGTCCATGCATGCCTGGTATAGTTCGTCGATGCGATTCATTAGTTCGTTTGGAAATTCGTCCATTGTGTTCATAATTAAAATCTAGGTCTTTTGATGGTTCATGACGCATCAAATCGACGCATTGACGAACCGCATCAGCGAATAGGGAGTATGGGGCTTTACAAAATCTAGCTTTTATAGATTTATTTTATGCCTTGATTAATTTTCAAGTATTTTTGGAATTGCATTTAATCAAAATTATATCAATTAGATTTAAGTTGAGATTGGCATTTACATATTTTGTATATTTCGCTGACTCTGTATAAGCAAATTTCAAGGAAAAGACTAAATAATTTTTTTTATAAATAACAAACACCTCCTATTCCTTTTCGCACTCATTTGTTTAAGTATACCCTGTACAATTATTATAAAAACGAATTTAAAATCAATGGATACTGATTAAAAAAATATATTTTATGTTTCTATTAGTAGTGGGAACTATCGAATGAATACTATCGAAACATTCGATAGTTGCAATTCATTCGAATAATTCGATAGTTAGTAAAAAAACATTCGTTGAAAACTATTCGAATAAAAATTATCGAATAGATCCGTCATCTGCCTTGAAATATTGTATTGTAGTAATTCGGCAGCAAAAGCCATTCATTTATAAAATCATTCATAAAAAAAAAATACTTTAAAAAAAAAAAATAGATATAATAAAATTATTAACTGAAATTTTAGTTGTCGCCGGCGACGTAGGTTTCTTTCCGAGAAACCCGACAGCGGTCGGTGCCAATGTTGGCAATGCTATGAAAGAAGCCGGCATGTTTGATTTTTTGTCAGATATAGATAAGGAGACATTATTTTTTTTATTGAGGTGCTAGTATATTTACACAGAAAATACAACATTTTAAAAACATAAAAAAATAATATTTTGGTATTATTGATATTAGCAAAGAAATATTATGTTTGGCTTTAGTTAGTTAGGGATCTTTTTATTTAATACTCTGTTGTTACACTGCAATAATACTTTGTTAATTTTGGATGTAGGAAAATGATTTTTAAATGTGTTTTAAGCAAAGACTGGTTTAATAATAATATAATTTTTTTTTTTTTTTTTTTTTTTTTTTATATATATAACAAAATTTAAGATCATTTAATATAAATATTTTTTTAAGTAGTAGGCAAAATATAAACAAAGCAAATTAGTGTCAAAATTATTTATATATTTAGATCCTATTTAAAAATAATATAGTCTCTAATTTTTTGTGTGTGGCCAACGTTTGGTTTATTAAATAATAATAATTAACAGAACTAATTTGTTATCATAAACACAAATTTTAAAATCAATGAAATATAAACATTTATTAATTTCTAAGCATGCAGTGTAATGGAAAGGAAAATATAATAAAAAATTGAAATCAAAAATTATTTATATTAGGTGCTTATATACTTATTTAAAAAATTATTTTTAACTTTTTTTTTTTTTTTAAATACTTTTAAAATAAATGAAATATTTCTTCGCAAAAACTACATGTAAGACAATTAGCATAAACAAAATAAAAAAAAAAAAAAAAACATCGTTAACTTTTTTTAAAATTGGCACGTGTAAAATTTCATTTTGCTTTTCTCATCCCCATAAGTTTGAGTTCGATAACCCCATTTACTTAAGCACATTACTTAAATATGAATTATTAAGTTCAACTATTTCAATATTATTAAAAACATCTGAAAATACAAATATGTAATTTTTTAAAATTAATTGTAAGTTCATCTCATCTCTCTTAAAAATTGCTCCTTCTCAAAAATTTCCCATTAAAAATAGACCATATAACCATATAAAATTAATGAGAATGAAGAAGTTATGGGAACACGGAAAAGCACACAAATTTTCGGAAAAAATTTTGACAACCTGCACATGCACAAAATCGTCAATAAATACAAATTG